GAAAATTCCCCCTTGTCCAAAGTGGGGAATGACAGAAAAAGTTTGAGAACCACTGCCTTACTGTTACCTACACGTTCCCTTCATGTTCCCCTCATGTTCCCTTACTGTTACCTACACCTTCCCTTCATGTTCCCCTCATGTTCCCTTACTGTTACCTACACCTTCCCTTCATGTTCCCCTCATGTTCCCCTCATGTTCCCTTACTGTTACCTACACGTTCCCCTCATGTTCCCTTCATGTTCCCTTACTGTTACCTACACATTCCCTTCATGTTCCCTACATGTTCCCTTCATGTTCCCCTGATGTTCCCTTCATGTTCCCTTACTGTTACCTATATGTTCCCTCATGTTCCCTTACTGTTACCTACACGTTCCCTTCATGTTCCCCTCATGTTCCCTTCATGTTCCCTTACTGTTACCTATATGTTCCCTTACTGTTACCTACACGTTCCCCTCATGTTCCCTTACTGTTACCTACACATTCCCTTCATGTTCCCTTACTGTTACCTATATGTTCCCTCATGTTCCCTTACTGTTACCTACACATTCCCTTTATGTTCCCTCATGTTCCCTTACTGTTACCTACCCATTCCCTTTATGTTCCCCTCATGTTCCCTTACTGTTACCTACACGTTCCCTTCATGTTCCCCTCATGTTCCCTTCATGTTCCCTTACTGTTACCTACATGTTCCCTCATGTTCCCTTACTGTTACCTACACGTTCCCCTCATGTTCCCCTCATGTTCCCTCATGTTCCCTTACTGTTACCTACACATTCCCCTCATGTTCCCCTCATGTTCCCTTACTGTTACCTACACGTTCCCCTCATGTTCCCTACATGTTCCCTACATGTTCCCTTCTCCACTGAAGCAGAGGAGCTTTCTAAACCTTCTGAAGCAAACTGAGCCGCTCCGTTCAACGGTTCCCTCTGCTTTCTGGTTTTCTGTTTTCTGAGCTTCACTGGAACCAGACGCTAATCTGGCTCTTGATCACGGCGGTTCTTCAGCAGGAAGTAAAACGATGTGACACGAGATGCAACGGAAGGCACCCATCATCTTCTCTCCTCTGAAGACCTCAGGTCTCCAACAGCTCTGTGGAAAAACGCTAAATCTCATCAGAAACCCAGAGAGGAAGCAAGCTGCTGATCTGGGACTTCACAGCATGAAAGGCGGCCATGTTTCACCCTGAGAAGAACATCTCAGAAGGTCAGGAAGGAAGCGACACAGGAAAAGGCAGATATCGTTACATCAAACAGCCTGACTTTGCAGAGCCGCAGCAGGAAGTGTTTTCAACAGAAAATAAACCAAATCAAATCATCTTAAAGATTGAATTTCCAGAACATGAGAGTAAAACCTGCAGCTCCTGGAACTAGAACCAGTCCTGATGTCTTTGTACGCTGATGATGACTGGATTTACTTTGCAGAGTATCTTAAAGCATCCCTGTGACCTTTGACCTCAGGATCAGCTTAACCTGACATCCATCCAATGATCCTTCATCTCCTGCTGTGTATCAATGCTCCTCTGTGACCTCAGAGGTTCTGATCAGTCTCTGAATGGGTCATGTGACCCAGAGCGCCGCTTCCTGTAAGTCTGAGCTCCCCTTAAACACCACAGCTAACTAAGCTAACAGCTGTTAGCTCTGAGCCTCAGCTGCTTCTGATTGGAGGATTTCATCCAGAGGAAGTCCAGGATTCTGGACATGCTGGTCCAAACTGGTCTGATACCAGAACCAGAACCCAGACAGCGGTGCTGCCTGTGGCCTGCAGGGGGCGCTGAACCCAGAAGCTACAGGTCCAGCGCCCCCAGTGGCTGAAAGCTGCACAGGGTTGTTTTAGATATTCAGAAATTAACTCAGTGAAAGTTACAAAAAAGCCAAACATGTCAGAACTAATTAAAAATGGCTTTCCAGCTAATGCTAACGCTAGCGTATTTCAGTCTACATCTGCTACTCATGAAAATTATTTTATAACAAATTAAAAAATAGACCAAATAGGTCCAAAGCAAAGAGCAACATGAACAAAATGAAAGAAAATCCAAACGGGTCCAGAATATCTGGAACCAGAACCGAGCTCCGTTTGTCTCAGCTGACTGCGAAGTTTCATTAACAGCAGGACTTCTTAATGTCCAACGTCTTCTCCACCGTCAGTAAACGATAAAAACTATAAACGCGTCTAATTATCCCATCAAGAAAAGACGGATTAAAACCAGAGAAACTGCCTGAAACCAAACCCAGCAGAACTCACCACTGAAAGGACGAATTTTAAAGTCAAGAAAAAACCCAAACCTGATCTAGAATAAAGTCCAGAACGCTTCTAAGAACTTTAACGGACCTTAGGAGCCCAAACCAAGAACCCAAAACAACTGATACGGAACAAAGTCTGAGCCAAACCATCCCGACCCAATAAGAACCTCTAAACGTCCGAACTCCAGAACCTGCAAAGTTCTAAAGCTCCAGAGAACTGAACCCAACCGCTGCTGCATCGGCGGGAAACATCCGTCATCCTGCAGGGTGTCTCCTCCCTTTGGTTCCAGGAGGAGATCCCTGCAGATCTCCTCCCGGTAGATCCAGATCCTGGTAGATTAGGAGGAGTTCAGAGTCTGCCTCTCTGTAAGAAGGATGAATGGGAATGTGTCTTTGTCTACTGGTCCGGTTAAGTTCCCCCCCCATGGAAGGTTCTAGGCCTGAAGTACGAGCAGGCCCTTCATCCTCCCCCTTCCTATGCTCCCCGCCTGCAGATAGACACTAGGTGGTGCTATAGAGCACCCGCCCCTCTCACACCCAACCAAAAAATGGCCTAACGATTATTCAGTTAGTTTTAGTCAATCTAGGTTTGGCGTTCAGCTCATTTTCTGGATTGAGTCTGAGTCTGTTGCTGACGGTTCTCTACGGGTCGGGGTCTTCAGAGGGCGCTGTCCCCGTCTTCAGGGGCCATAGTGCCGAGGTCCAACGAGGCTGCAGGCGGAGCCCATGTGGTCCACCAGCGGCCCTGTCTGACCTCAGCACTATGACCTCTGGGGTCGGCCCTGAGTTTCTGGGTCCCTTTGGGTTTGGCTCCTCTGGTGTCAGGCTCCAGGTGCTCTCCTCTGTCAGAACCTTTGGATTTTACTCGCCAACAACAAAACCTGAAGTTTGACACAGAAAGGTGGACCTGCTGGACAGGGCCTCTATGTGCTGTTCAGGATCTGCTCCTGGGTCTGGGTCTGGGTCTGGGTCTGAGTCTAGGTCTGGGTCTGGGTCTGGGTCTGAGTCTGAGTCTGAGTCTGAGTCTGGGTCTGGGTCTGAGTCTGAGTCTGAGTCTGGGTCTGGGTCTGGGTCTGGGTCTGGGTCTGGGTCTGAGTCTAGGTCTGGGTTTTTTCCTTCCACTTAACTTTTTCAGCCGTACCGTTGGAAGCAGAACTCTGAGCGGTTTGAGGTTCTGCAGGTCCGGCTCCATGCGGAGGGACTCTGTCGGTGTTCTGGTCCATGATGGTTTGAACCAGAACATCTGATGGAGCTGAATCAAAGAAGAAAATAAACAGGAATGTTTCCCTTGGTGTGAAGCGGTTCTGATTGTTCTGGGTTCATTAACTCCAACGGGTCGAGATGAGAACGTCTGTTGAAGCCGTAAGTGTGTTAAACAGCCACCGACTTCCTGTCGGTTCCACATCGAGGTTAAACGCGACTGCAGGAAGTCGACGCTTCTTCCAATCAGGTGTGGTTCCTTCTCAGAACCGTCTGAACGTCACGCTGCAGATAAAACTGCGCCAGTTCGGTACCTTTCCACTGGGCCTCCTCTAAAACACCCAGAACTTTGGATCAGAACCAGCGAGGTGATCCTGGTCCAGCTCCTTCTGGAGCTCCAACCCATCATCAGACCTGGAAGCTCTTCAGAGATCAGAAGATGTTTCTGATGGTTTTAGAAAAACACCCAAAATGTTGGCAGCGAATAAAGGAGTAGAAACTCGTGGAGTTTTGGTGGTTCTGAAACCGGGTCAGACCCAAGGCTCGGCGAAGACCTGACAGGAAACTAACCTTCTACAGAAGTTCTACAAACATCCAGTTTTCTCTTATTTTCAGATTAAATCAGATGTTTCTCCTGCGGTTGACACTGACCTGCGGCAGTGGAAGCGGAGCGTAGATCTAGGCCTGTAGATGTTCTCCTCACTGTCTGGTCCAAACCAACACCTACTGGAACCAAGCAGCCATCTTCAACATGTCTGCTCCTTCTGATCGCTCTTCAGTCAGATGAAGCGGGTAATCATCTCGACTCGATGGCGCCTTGCTGGTGTCTGCAGATGGACCTCCTGAAGCTCTGACTCACCAACACCGTGTGGGACGATCAAACCTTCCTCCTGCTGCACCTCATCTGCAAGCTGTTGGTGGAAACTGGAGACGCTGTCCTCAGAGCGCCGCCGCCTGCTTCACACAAACACCTCCGACCAATCAGGAGGAGCGACTGTGACACCTCAGAGCGGCGCCGGTTGGTGAGAAGCTGCAGCTCTGTGAGAACGCTGCTGCAACCGTCTGAACATCCTCCCACCTGCAAACAGGAAACCACAGCGAGGAGAGGAAGCAGAGTCCTCCTCTACCTCCTCACTCCTCTCAGCCTCCCACCTCCTTCTGCTGAAGGTTCAGAGGAGCCTGAGGAACCTCTGAGCCGGAGGGAGGAGACCTGGAGAACGTCTGTGGAGGATCCATCTGACAGAGTTTCTCCTAAAGAACCTTCAGAACCGAGTCCAGACCAGAGTCCGAATGAGCAGCTCTCATTCAGACTTTAACAAACGCTGCGGTACCAAGCATCCATCGGTAGAAGGTCCTGGATGGTTCCAGGGACACAAAGTCTTTGGTGGTTCTGAAAAAAAAACGTCTTCTTTTATTTCTCATAAACGTAAAGAGCTGAGATCAGATTTAAAAAAAATGCAGGAAAAGAAGTTCAAGAAGGTGGAACACAAAATATCTGAAGAACTGATGAAGAAAACGTCTCCTGGGGCAGGAAGTCCCTCTGTCAGCCCTTAGACATCCAGGAGGAACCAGGAAGTCCCTCCCTCAGTACAAAGACCACCAGGAGGAACCAGGAAGTCCCTCCCTCAGTCCAAAGACCACCAGGAGGAACCAGGAAGTGCCTCCCTCAGTCCAAAGACCACCAGGAAGTCCCCCCCCCCTCAGTCCAAAGACCACCAGGCGGAAGCAGGAAGTCCCCCCTCAGTCCAAAGACCACCAGGCGGAAGCAGGAAGTCCCTCCCCCTCAGTACAAAGACCTCCAGGAGGAACCAGGAAGTCCCTCCCTCAGTCCAAAGACCTCCAGGAGGAACCAGGAAGTCCCTCCCTCAGTCCAAAGACCTCCAGGAGGAACCAAGAAGTCCCTCCGTCAGCCCTAAGACCTCCAGGAGGAACCAGGAAGTGCCTCCCTCAGTCCAAAGACCACCAGAAAGTCCCTCCCCCCTCAGTCCAAAGACCTCCAGGAGGAACCAGGAAGTCCCCCCCTCAGTCCAAAGACCTCCAGGAGGAACCAGGAAGTCCCCCCCTCAGTCCAAAGACATCCAGGAGGAACCAGGAAGTCCCCCCCTCAGTACAAATACCACC